CTCTTTTTTATTTTTATCTTTTCTTTTTTTCTTTTAGGCTTTGGTTTTCTTTCCAGAAATTTCTCTTGAATTTCATTCTATATATACCGGTTTTCAAAATTTTTTACAAAGATCTTCTTTAATATCTTTAGTAATATATTCTTTTTTGTTTCTAGTTCTTGGCTCTTTTTTGCCTGTGTGTTGAAGTATCTTGAATCCACTTCATATCAGTATTTCTTTGGGTTTTCGAATACTGTATCCATTTTATAAGCAGGTCTTTCTTTTTCATTTTCATGCTTTACTATCAGTCTGTGAGGTTTTAATATTTATTTGATATATTACTTTGATCAACTATTCTGTTAGATTTGTTACTTAGCTTTTGGACTTGAATCTTCTTGGGTCTTGTCTAACACTTCTACTTTGTCAAGGCCTTTAATCTTTTGTTTTCTAGCTTTCTTTTTTTTTCTTTTTTTAGCTTTTTTTTTTCTTTTTTGTTTTGCTAACTCTAGTTCAGCAGAAACTTTAAGATTTACAACCAGAGTCCTTAATGCAGTTTCATTGTTTTGCTTTTGTCAGATTCTTCTTTGTTTCTAAAATTTCTTGCTCTAGCTTGCTTCTAATTTTGATTTTATTTTGGCTGCTTGTTTTTTTTGCAAGATTTGTATCTTTTTTCTTTTGCTTCTTTGATTTTCTTCTTAATCTCATGATATGCTGCTGCGAAAGACTTGACAGATTCTTTGAATTGAAATACTATAGATTTTAGAGCTGTTTTGTTATGCAATTTTTGTTGGCTTTTTTTGATTTTGGAGTCTCTTGTTTCAATCTAATTCTATTTTCACTTTTATTTCAGCAACTTGCTTTTTTTTATCTATTAGTATTCTTCTTATTTTATTACCTAGTCTTATTTTCACCACGATCCTATATATATATTTTTTTATAATATAGTTAACAGAGTCTGCATTGCTTTATAAAAAGTCTTGTGATCTCTTTCTATAAGTGCAGATGCTATATATTCTAATTCTCCTCTGTTATACTGTCATAACTTTTCGTAGAGCTCTTTTATTTGTTTATTGGCTATCTCTATTAAAAGAAGCTTCTGTCTAGTATATTTAGCTATTATTTTTTCTACTTGTTTATTTATATCTTTCTGCTATTAAAGCCTAGATCTCTTTTAATACCACCTTTATATTTTTTAATATTTTGATTTTTTTTCCTAGATGCTCTGTTAAAATTTGCTTCATATGACTTGTTGTTTTTATTGTTGTCAAAAAATATTGTTGTTTGCTGCACGTGTTTAATGGCTTTGTTTACTTTCATTACATGATTTTTGTTGTATTTTTTTTGTTTACTTTTTATTATATATTGTGATTTTTGTATTACAGTATTATCAAAACAGATCTATGATTCAGGATCAAGGCTAATTTTCCAAAATTTTGAAAAGTGTAAAAAAATATTGATAATTTTTCATGACTTCTTCTATTTTTTTGCTAGTTTTGCTTTTTTTTTTTTTTTTTTGGTGTTAAGGTGACTTCTTTCAGTCAGTACTTTATTATTGTTTAGATTATTTTTACAACTAGATAATCTATATCTATTATACATATATTTCTATATACATAAGCACAAAGCTTTTTATAGTAACTACCTTAGAACAATTTTATTTTTGGGGTAAATCTGCTAGAGCTTTCTGTATCCACAATCTGGCTGACCTAGGCTTCAATTAATATGTATGAGCTAAGGCTTGCCACTTGTATCCCAGTTTCTATAGTAGAAGTATTCTCTGGCTATTTTGTTTTTACTAGTTTTTTTGTAACTATTTTAACTAACTATGGTTTGATTGCTGCTACACAACCTACTTCTGCCCTTATAAAGTTTATCAAAATCCCAGTACATACTTACAAACTATTTACTAGTATTCTTAGCTACCCCAAACTACTAATTCAGATAGCCCGAAAGGGCTATGGCCTGCTCTTGTTACCATGATTAGGTTTTTTTCTTCTGGCTACCCTCTGGTAGCCTGGTTGGTAGAGTGTTTTGCTAAACACTTTGGTCCCATTCAGTTTTACTAGTTCTCTAAATACTGTAGTAATCTATATATAGTACTGTTAAAGATCTGTATTATCTCTTTATTCAGAACTTTCCAAGTGAGTATCCTATTGCTGTATCGGCTTTGTGGCTTTTTGCAATTCCAAAGGACTTATCTTGGGTTTAAATCAACTAAACTAGCTTGCATATTTTTGTGTAATTTCTTTATTACACAAATACCTTGAGATTTTCTAGTTCGCGTAAACTATTAATTGATATGACTACAGTTACAAGGTCTCGAGTTTTTTCAGCTACAACGATAGTTACTGAATTTGTTTTTTTTTAAATTCAATTTTCGTCTTCAGTGAGAATTGAACTTGTACTTAACTACTTGGAAGTACGACAACTTCACCACTTTACTAAGTCACTATATCTTTGCTAGTTTTGCTTCTTCTACTCAAGTCTTTTAAAAGACTGAATATTTTTTGTAATCCTTTTTCTCTTTTCTTAAAGCTTCAAGTTTAGTTTTCTAGTTGCCTTAGTGTGTTTTTTGTAATTTTTGTTGTTTTGTTTTTTTTAAAAATTTGTGTTTTGATGATTAGCAGAAAGAGTTTGCTATATACTTTTTTTAAAAATTTTAAATTTTACTATTCTAATTTTAAATTATCGCTATTTTCGAAATAGTTGAGAATGGCAGGATCTACAAAAAAAAATTTTTTTTTGAAAATACTTGAATACTCGATTAGTTTAGAACATTGATCAATGATTGATTTCCGATTTATGTATGTATGTAATTGGTTTATTAAACAATTACACAACTAGTTAGCCATGCATGGCATTGATAATTACACAACTAGTTTGCGTTGTAAATATATCTCAGCTGCTTTTGTTCTATGACTTTGTTTAAATAACAGTAACTAGTTTTTTTTATACATACACGAAACTACAAAAGCATGCCGATACGTTATATCATAACTGTTTCTACTATGTATAAACAGTAAACTATCTTTTTAATTTACTGGTGCCACCAAGTAAAAACCAGGAAGTCTAAAAATAGCTTTCTTTAGACAACGAAATGCAGGCTTTTAACTGATCTGACTAGTATAATAAATTATACTGTTTTTTTTGATCACATATTAAAGTCCATGGTCCATTGTTTAAAGAAAGCTATTTTTAGACTTTCTGGTTTTCACTTGGAGGCACACATATAATAGTAAGCATTTTGTTCCTGAGTATCTGCTATTACTTTTTTGGATTTCAAAGATATACCTTTTGAAGTCAAGTAAATAGCCTTTCTGAATTAAGCATTAGTAGTGAATTTTTTTTTTAAAAAAAAAATTTTAACTAATCACTTTGAAGCATTAACTTTTTGTTTGATATCTAACAAAGTTGCCGAATATACAAAACCAAATACAATTTTTTTTAATATCAGATAATTTATTTCAATCGCATCTCTATATGTAAAGATTCTAAGTTGAAATGCTTTTATACAATTGTTAATATTTTTACTTCTACTTGTCCATCACGTTGCTATATCAGGGCCACATATTAGACACCATACTATGCTTCATTCGTTGAAGTTATAAAGTAATTGAACAATCACATTCCGGCTTATATATATTATTCTCGTATTTATTAGACATTATTATTGAAGCATCTAATTGGGTTTGTTGATTTTTTATTTGTGTTCTGTTATTTTTTAATATTTGAGTATTATAATTTTCAGAAGTAGCTAAGAAGTATCTTATTCGTGAATTTTAGATTTGCTTACTAGCATAGGTTTTTCAGGATTACAGGTATTTGCATTTTATCTTTATCTTAGTAATGCTAAATACTTATATTATATTCTAATACTGTTGTATTGGGTTCTGCTTTTTATAGTGCACAATTGTGATATTTTTGGAAAGATTTGTGATCGTAATAAGTATAGTTTTGCTCTTATAGTATGCAATTGTGATATTTTTTTAGAGGGTTAGTGATCATAATTAATATACTAGCACTATAGTATTAGATTTTGTTTTTTATAGTGCGATAGCATTTGTATAATACTGTATTACATAATTATGATTTCTTTAGCTAATTTAATAAATGTTGTATTGAGCTCCTGATTCTTATATATGGATTTAGGTATTTGTCTATAAGCATTATTTTTTCAGGGTTGTTGGTATTTGTTTTAGTAGTATCAAAGTATTAATCTTGTTATATAGAATATATTTTGTTATATTGTGATAGCATGTAATAATTGTTGTCTTTAATAGTGTTTGTGACAGACTTAATAGAGCTCCAAATAAAATTTAATAAATCATTGCTATTGAATTCATTCAGAGCTTCTAGTTCTTAAACAATTGATTTTTGTGAATATTTAAGCATCGATTTGAAAAAAAATATATATATATATTATCACTTTACAAGATTGGCATATGCTTTTCGTGTCAAAAATACATGTTTTGTTCTGCTAATCGCACTATAGATTTGTGTGAATGTGATATTAATATAAAACCTTCTCATGCTAAGACCAATTCTCAGCAAATTTACAGTCGAATATATGATCCCTATAAAATCTCATCTAATCAAAAACAGTTACTTTGAAACTATGATCATCTCTTCACTTATAACTGTAATTTCAATATATCATTTAATATAAGTTTTGCTCTGTCTGCCATTCGCAGTACAAACACACTAAGAGTTCTGAAGATTCAAGCACTAGCAATAATGATGATAACTATGATGATGATTCTTCGTCTTCATTAAAGAAAAGCTTTTCTTGTTTATAACTAAAATCTAAGGTTATAATTTGGTTGAAAACTCTACCTTTATAACTGCAAAATGCTGATCATATTTGTAAGTATACTGGTACTAATAATGTTAATATTAACAAAGATGATATTAAAATTACTTACAAAGTAAATGGCCACAGTTAAGAAATGGTATTAGAGGATGATAATGATTACGATGCTTTTATAAGAGAGTTCTAGAAAATAAAAAAATTGACCAAAAATATGGTTCTATATGTTATACTAAACTCCTCTGATAATCATGATATAAAAAAAAAAAAAAAAAAAAGGTTAAGATAAAATATTAATATTTTGATTAAAGAAGGTTAATATTAATACGGTCAAAGAGAATATACAGTATATCTGTACTTAGCTTTTTATAAATTAAATATTCCAATATTTATAGGATTCGTCAGTAATTAACATTGAAGATTCAGATTCTGAAGAAGAAAAAGTAAAAACTAAAAGAGCAAAAAAAAGTAATCATATGCCAAAAGAGGAAAAGCTATCATCTAATGAAGTCAAACTGGCCAATATTATTACCCAACTCTGCTCCAAGTACCAGTGCGGTATATATAATATTCCATGCTATATAGAGGATGGTCAACACCTCTTTCTTAACCCTGCCTAGCTTCATCTGTGGTCTTGAGACATAGTATGATTATTTAATTTCATGTAATATATGAGATATTTATATATTAAAACAGCATTTTGAGTAATGGTAAATCGGATTTAAATGTTAAAAGTTTTTTTTTCATGTGATCTGCATATACGATTAGCTCTTATTACTTATGCTAACCTTTTTTAAAAGAAAATTGTACAAAAAGGCTGTTTTAATACGTAATATCTATATATATAATATATTAACAAATATATGTATATTTTTAAAAGATGAAAATTACCGATTTAGACACACCACCCACATACTCATCATTTGGATTAACTCATGACTTTAAATCTAATACACAAAGATCGCAATCACAATCACAGTCTACCGATACAGAAAATATATTAGGCTCTAATTTTGTTTCAGCTCTTCAAGAATGTCTTAACCTTCTTACAAATATTTTAAATTCAGCTAGGAGTTAATAACAAAGTCTTGTATTATGTATTATTGTTAGTAAAATAACAGGTAGAAAAATATAATGAATTTTATATTATACTATATACGTATCATAGAATAAATTTTGATTATATATTATAAATGAAAATGGGGCCTTACTTATATCAATTCCCTTAATACTTCATGAACTTAAATGCTATACTTCGATTAATAAGTGCTCTATACTCGTCCACAAATTATTATGAATAAAATTAAATATTTGCTGATTTAACCTATTTGCGATTTTTTTAGAAAATGTGACTTGTAGTAATGAGAATATATATGCTCTGGGGGTTACAGTATGATTCCTGAAAATTATTTACCCGAAAGGCCACTTACCCGACATCACAAGGGTAACAAATTGCTAAAAATATATACCTGCAGCTAATAAAATGCTAACTCTAACCCTATATGATATCAGGTAAATGGCCTGTTGGGTAAATAGCTTTCGGGAAATTGAGCAACAACCTGCTCTGGGTCATAATAGTATTGTGAGGCTAAGTCTGTGGCAAAGGCTTAGAAGTTTAGATCTGCATAATTATTTATCATTTCTGTTTATTTTATATCTATAGATTCTTTTTATTTATTTATTATTGTATAGTGTAAGAGTTAGACATATATTAAAGCTTAGAGGTGTTTTTAAATAGAGGTAAAAGGAAGGGTTAAATGTGAAAGCCTAGTATGATATTCCAGGAATAGGCTTAGAAGGTATAGGCATGATAAGACTAAGGTTGGTAAGGTTAACAAGATTATAAAACAAAGTACAGACATAAAATTAGGGATATAAATGTATCTAGCTCCTTGTTGTAAACCTTTAATGTATTCTGAAAATATAAAAGAGCTATCTTTTCGCTCTTTAAATAAAATTTTAGACTTCGATATTTTGGTTATAAGGGATATAAGAAGAATCGATTTCTCAATATTGTTATACGTTTTAGTGTTGTATTTATTGTTTTATTATTTTAATCGTTAAGTTTCTTAATGATCGTATTACATTTTTGTTATTACCCTATTATCTTATAAGTATCGATCCTTAATATTGGTTGTACTGATGATTACTAATTTATTTAATTACTTATTACTTGATTTATTTATTTGATTGACTACCGGTAGATATAATTAAGTACCCCAATCTTGATCAATCAAGGGATGATAGAATAAAGTTAAATAAATCAAGCAGTATAGTCTAATTAATTACTGCAAGTTTAACAATAATGCGGTATTTAAGGAATTTTAAGATTACTAACAATAGTTAATGGGTATCATTTAAATAATGCCAAAATAAGAAATTTAATAGGACTGTGAAAATGTATTCACGATAAATGATTAAAAATAATGTCGTGAAGATGTATTCACAATAATATAACAATATAACAATGTGATAATAGTGAGAATTCTATAATTTTATAAATATAGGTTTTCAAGTATATAAGAGATCGAAGTTTGGAGAAACTTTATTAAAGTTTGAAAATTGAGTCTTTAAATACATGATTTGGTATATATAAATTAATACACTACTCAATTGTCAGGCTATCCTTTTCTCTGTTATTTATCTTATACTTTCTATAAAACCTTTTCATCTATCTTTCTCTACAACAAATTACTTTATTTTCCTGTTAAACACCTTCTCGTTACTAAGTTTGGCGATTTATTTAATACAAGAAAAGATTCAACCTTGTTGATGATTTTACTATCGAATGACTTCGTGTCTATAAGCTATAGAGTACAAAATAGGAAATAGATAATCTAATAAAATAATACTAAAACTAAATAATGATAAGAAAAAAAAGAAAAAAAAATAAAGTGATACGGTTAACAATTTACGGCACATAATTGACATATGACAGAGGTGCGAAAAAATTCACATGACAATAGTAACAAGTTTATTCAAAATAACCTGATCCCCTAAAAAAACCTGCTGCTATTTCAGGAATTATTTGAGCACATACGACTATAAGCACATAAAATAGATCTGATGCAGCATTTATGAATTCCCTATATCAACAGATCAAGTTTTTAATAGTACTAAAAGCCGTCTTTATGGGATTGAAATCAGGCGAATATGGTGGTAAAAAGACAATATGACAACCAAGCTCCTCTATAGTATTGATAAGAAATTTGTTATGGTGAATCTTTGCATTATCAAGAATGATAATGCTGTTTTTACCAGAAAAAAGATTCATAATAGGAATCTATTGTTAAGTATATTATTATTATATTTATTATTATATATATTAAAAACAATTTAAAGATAGATAAATTTAATTAACTTACAACTTGAGACAAAATGAATTTACAAAACTGATTTTTGTTGCAACTATTTTCTAAAATTTCGACTGCCAGAAAACTATCTAATGATAGAGTAGGCAAAATCATGTATCTTTTTCCACGAATAAAAATTATGTTTTTGCATGCATGAACATTTTTAAATACATAACTGTAATGCTTCTTTAAACTACAATCATCTTTTGCAGCTTCGTCTATAAAAATCAACTGGTCAGAATGATAATTTTCTCCAATATTTGCAAGAAAAGCACTTCGAAGAAGCTTGCTTTTTCCGGATGCTATCTTTTGCAACTAATTAAAATTTAATTAGTTTAAAAAATTAGGTTTAGCAGTCAAAGGTAGTAATACAGGTTGATCCGGCCCAATAGCCGAGTCGATGGGCGAGTCGACCCTCAGCCTGCATTTTTGTGGGCCGGGTTAGTTGATAAGAGAAGTGTTAGAATCATTTCTCTTTTAAGCATATTTTCAAACTAGAAATTGAATAAAAATCGGCTAGTTATTTATAATAATGTAAGAGAAGTTGGCTTATTTAGGTAATAAATTGGCAAATAACAAATATAATATAAGAATCAGAATTGTTCATGATATAGACAATCAACCAACAAATGTTTGTGATACAGACAATTATTCAACATAAAATACTAACGTGCCAAAATTTTCTTAGAACAAAAAGAATAAAGTTTAAATCGTTTAACATCACAAGAGTTCAACAAGAAACTACCTGATGGCCTTTTGCATGTTTAATATAGATATGTTTACTGATTTTGATCAGAAAAAAATTACACTAGATCAGCCTGGTCGACCGGCCTGAGCTTTTTAGGATTAACCCAGCTCACGATTTTTCATTGACCCATATCACTAGTCAAAGAAAAACCTGTCAATATATTTTGTACTGAACACAATCTTTAACAAAATAAACAGAATTTGCCTGGTCCAAAATATAATTAAAGTCCGATGACAGGTTTTCCTTTGACCGTATATATTGATTATGTTTAATTTTAGCTACCTTTTTATGAGAAATACCACAGTATTTCAATGATTTCCATAAAGATAATATAGAAAGCCATTTGTTTGTACACATTTCCATTTCTATTAGAAGCTCGTCAAGGTACTAGTCTACCTTTTCATTAACGAGTCATTTTAACATCTTTAATTTCTAACGTATAAATTTTTTTCTATGGCCAGGTTGGCCTTTAAAGAGATTTGTGATGCATCACTATTTTCTAAAGATAGATAATATCTGAAAAACAGAAGCTTTGCTTATATAGAAGATTGTTAAGATAGCATTCTTACTATAACCTTCTACATCTAGGTAGACAACTCTCCATTGAAGATCTTTACTAATTTCTCATGGCATACTGGTTTTAGGTGAATTTTTATAAACTTGAAATGCAGATTTATGATAAGTAAGGTATATACTTTTGAGATTTAGTAGTTTTAAGACTTTATATTAACTTTTAAACAAGGAATATTTTTTGCTTTTATTTGACATAACAGAGATTTATCAACACTTAATAGCTATCTTATCTCGTTTTAGTGCTTTGGGAGTATATCAAGTATAGCCCGGATTTTTATGAGGAGAGTATCTTCCTGCTTTACGAACACAAAGTAAAATTTCTAATTATACTCTATAATTAGAAAATTTATTTTGTATTTGCAACACAGATACTCTCCTCATGCAAATCCAGGATATACTTAACATATCTTCAAAAGCACTAAACAAGGTAGGGCAGCCGTTAAAATTGAAAAACATCTAGTAAAAGTAGTAAAGGTTAGCAGATAAAAGTAGCCAATACAAAATACAACACAATATCAAATCGAGGGTCTTTTTCGATTTTAACAACTGCTCTTTCTTGTTTAGTGCTTTGGGATGCGTCAGAGGCGTATCAATTGTAGCCCAGATTTGCATGAGAAGAGCATCATCTTTCTACATTGCGAATACAAAATAAAATTTCTAATTGTAGAACTTAATAGCAGAGGTCTTTTCGATTTTTAATAGCTGCCCTATCTTGTTTAGTGTATCGAGTGTAACCCAGGTTTGCATAAGGGAGCTTCTCCTGTATTACGAATACAAAGTAGAATTTCTAATTATATAATATAATTAGAAATTCTACTTTGTATTTGTAATGCAGGGAGAAGCTCTCCTTGTATGAACCTGGGTTACACTCAATGCACTTTTGACTTACTAAATAGGGTAGGGCAGCTGTTAAAAATAAAAAAAAACTCTGCTAAACATAATTAGATTTTACTTTGTGCTTGCAATGCAGGAAGATGCTCTCTTCATGAAAATCTGGACTACACTCAATACATCCCTGACGCACTAAAACTAGGTAAGATGACTGTTAAATGTTGAAAGACCTCTGTTACTAAACAATGATATTTCTTAAAATCTTATTATCTATAAATAAATTAGTATAAAATAAAATGTAATTAGCGAGCTTAAAATAAAATCTTTTTTCATTAGACATTTATAGTACTGTACATCAGTTGGCAATAGGATCCAATAAGAAATCTCAATAGAGTTAATATGCTTAATTGATACTTATTTATTGATTTCCATTGACTTAATATTGCTAATTCTATAATTCAATATATCTTTTTCTTATTAATAACTGTTTAGGTATTTTTCTACATATTGGTCATTTAACTTTCTATTTCTGTAGTCGGCAAGTTGTCACCCCCCAAATGACAGGTCTAGGGT